ATTGCATATCGTTGTTGAACTCGAAATTTCAACCATACTGATATTAACAATCTATCACTTTAAGTTTCACTAATTTATCTAATATATAAATAAATGTATAGCCTTGTTCATACTGCAAGTCTTGTTATAAGTTATACAGAATATGACCATAGAACATGTATCATATTACTACCCAGATCACATGTGATCCAAGTGACAACATTCCAAGGCTTGTAGCAGAAGCAAGACGAGACATTCAGCAATAAATTTGATAAGTTTGACAATGTTATGAAATAGAGGTTCTATCATTCAATACAACATCAATTTCATAATACTCACACTCTAGAATACAACTTATTTCGGATGGAATTATCGCTTCTCTTGTTGTTGACTTGCCATCTTCGCGAGTAATGTTTTGCATGTGCGTTTTTGACATTTGCTTCCAAAAGTAAAACTAATCAAATTCAATGGATGAAAACAGTGGTGCCTATTAAAATGATGATCATTTTGATTTAAAAGTGTTATACAGTACATATTTTTCAACGACAAATCACTTTGTTTCAAATTCAAGAGATGAACTAGCCTATGGCTAAAAATCTCTATAAATAAGAAAAAAAAAAAAAAAACTTTGTTTCAAAACGTAAGTCACTTGGATAAGATGTGACAACTTTTTACCGTGTATAAGACGCTGATTAGACTTGCACTATGCTCGTGGAGGACCACCCTAATAATATTGTTATGGTTATTTTGCTTAACGACGTGTTTCGGGTATCATCCAAACCATTTGTGGAATAGTTTAATCATTTGGGTTATCATTCGTTTATGGTATTATTTTTTTATTAGGGCAACGCGCCCTTGTTGTTTTCGAACGGAAGGTGTTGCATACCATCTACGGTGGAGTGCAGATGGATGATGGAACGTGGAGGTGGCGAATGCACCACACATTGGGTGACTACGGTGGGCTGGGCACGTCGTGAGAATGCCGCACGACGACCTAGTGAAAATGGAAACAGGAACAAGAAGAAGAGGCACGCAGAGCTGTCAAAGTGGATCGACCAAGTAGAAGGCGACCTGCGAACCCTTCGCAGACTACTAGGCTGGCGACTTGTGGTCATGGATCGAGTAGACTGGAGACGACTTCTTCGGACAGTAAAGGACAACAATGCCTTAGTCTGATTGGTAAGGTAAGTATATATTTTATACAGGAAATTTACATGCACGTTTGCGCCGCATAGTGAGAAAGTTTTGTACTACTGTTCTCTAACCAATCCGCATCTAATGTGCAATTTTGCCGAAGACAAAACCTTTCATATGGCCAGGAGCATATGATAGTCCATGTGGCTGTCGTACCTCTAGGAGTGACCAACCTTACCCAGTCTTTTTTTGGTTCGTTATAAACCATCATCAAATGGAAAGGAAATTTTCTGAGAAAAAAAACTGTATATAGGGAAAGTACTCTAAAGATCAATATTCACTCAATTTATCGTGGAAATGACAAACAGTTGTGCTTTAATTTTACTATGGTGGCCGTCTTACCCCGTTATCCCTTATACCATGAACGAACACATACACCACGTGGCAGTTGAGCAAAGTTAAACGAGGAAAAAACATCAAAAAAGGATTCCGAAAGGACACTTTGCTACTGCCAGGGAAGACAGAAAAAGCACATTTCAAACCACTGAGTATGGCACAAGAATAAAGAGAAAAGTTTGTCGTCTCCTGTTTCAGCAGCATCGGACCGAACGAAGGGGAAAAGGATTGTGATTTTATGCCTTCGAAATGGGGCCCGACAATATGTACCTACTCAGAAGAAGGATATACGAAAGCAAGCAAGGACAAATCTGCTTCGATGGCCAGCATTTGCGTAATCACCTCGGTCGGTACCTTCTACAGCACAGACCGGGAAACGATTGTGGTTACGGTCAAGGATGATGCGGCAGGGTGTGAGGTAATGGAATTTAGAAACTTTACTTTCCAAGACATCTGTGAAATGATATTTCGGTTGGTCGAATCGATTTCAATTTCCAAATTGAGAACACATTCTCCGACCAAAACGAACTCAACTGCCAACGGTTGACTATGAAGAGATGATCGTTGGACGGATTTTATTACTCAGAGTTCCGTTCAGCCTTTTCCCCTGGTTTGGAGAACATTTCAACGAAACTCTCGTTAGTTTGAACCAACAGAGTACCCCATGTTATACTCAGGGAAAATCGGAGGAACTTTGGGAGAATCCTGAGATAGTTTCTCCGACACATGCTCAAGCGGTGCCGTGGCGACTCATCGCGCAGCCAAATCTTCTCCCGCTCCCGCGCTCTTGCTGCCGCTCTGAACATGCTGAACTCGCACTCGATCAACCTGTGTTCTACCTATTCCTACTCCCCCCGCGAATCAGACCCGGTTGAGGACGGTGGAGGAGTTGCGAATCCCTCACGACACACACGAGAGTAGCCCAAACGCGCGAGAGCTGGAGGAGGATACAAACGCGCGCGCGAGAATAGCCACTTCTGCCGATGTGCTCCCCGGAGCGTACCGCCGGTCAGGGTCCCCGAAAAATCTCACCTCCCCAATCGAATCTCCCGGTCTGACACCGTCGTCGTTATCGCTTAGCCCCGAGAGACACAGGCGGGCCAGACCAGAACTACCCGGTTCAAGTTATAGCCTCCTAGTACCGCAGAGGCCATTTCACTCTCTTTCTCGCTCACTTTCATTGATTTTAGCTCTCCCACCGCGCGTCCCGTGATGTGCAGCAGCTTCTGCATCACCAGTATGTGACCACATGGCCACTAACTACTGCCTGAGCGTACGATGGATGGAAGTCAATCCGCAAATCCGGAGGAATTTCCGCTAACACAGATTGAGTATTGAATAGATGTAGGTAGGTACCTACAGTGGTGTTTATATTATTAAACCATGTGGTAATATTTTGTAGTCATACAATGCATCAGCTTGATCATTCAATTCAAGGTTCAATTTAAGAATTCGTTTAACATTGTACCTACGCTTCAGCATCTCGCCCGGCTAGCTCAGTCGGTAGAGCATGAGACTCTTAATCTCAGGGTCGTGGGTTCGAGCCCCACGTTGGGCGCTATTCTTTTTACTACACTACTCTACTGTGAACAATGATTTTATAAAAAGAAATCCAAAGAATAGTAAGGTACGTAATAGGAATAACAAAAAGCATGTGAACCATTTTATCGAACAAAAGCTATCGAACGTTTATTACATACCTCTAGGTACACGTTCCATTTCCCTAAGGCACAAGGTTGTAGATGGCAGCATCACACAGACGGTATACGGATTTCACGTTGAGTGCCAAGAGGGGAAATGAGTGACTTATACATTCTGGGATTTGTGATGTATAAGATTCCATACGCATGTGTGAGATTTTCATTTGAATTTCTTAATACTGAACATGTGAGTATTGGTAAATTATCACGTCCACTTCGTTCATGGTTCCCACAAATTACTAAATGATTGTAGCATTGAATTGAAAATGCATTCTTACAGAAATTGTGAAGTGCAATCCTGAGCAATGTTCACGATGCAACATGCGTGTTTTGCACTCACTTGTTCTCCGCATGCTATGTTCAAATATGCACAAGCCTTACAAGTGTTTTCCTAAACCCATATGTGTGACGACGTGTTCAGGGTATCATCCAAACAATTTGTGGAATAGTTCTATCATTAAGCTTATCGTTCGGGTATGGTATGGACTGATAATCAGAAGAATTACAGTATGAGTCACCCCTAGTCTGTTAGTTTTTTTTTTTGTGTAATTTATAATCTTATAATTTTGCCCCGTCTACAATGTACCCGGGTACAAACATTTGTGAACATTAATACACCTGAGTGTATTGTATGAAACGTTGATGTTTGCAAGATTGCACGTAAATTCAAGCTGAACATTCGCTTTGATTTTTGTACACAAGCTCAACATGACACATGTTTTCATGAAGACTGATCCTGAGTCACCAATTTAAATACAATCAATTCGCGCTAATTGAGTTGCGAATAGGATTTATTTATTTGAAAAAAGAGAGAAGGATAAGTAATTTTCATTTAATTCCACTGCCTTTTAGTCCAAGGTGGATTGAATCCACAAATGGCCATTGTCATCCCCCAACTAGGGCTGTGCTTAATATGACCGAAATTAGATCTTAATCCGTCGTTGCAAATATCGGTCGATTCGTTTAAACCAAGGTCGGTCAATCATACCGATATAATACTGTGGGAAATCGGATGGATTTTTTATGGGGTGTAGTTTATTAGGATAAATGGTTCACGGAGTGTGCCACAAAATTCTGACAGCCATTAAAATAGCGAGAGAATTAAAGAGACGACGAATTCACATTGCCTTAGACGATGTTCTTAATGTTTTGTTCTCTGAAGTGTTTAACAATGTGAATAAGTAATTTTTTATATTAATTCTAACTTAAAATCTAATAACGAAATCGTACTGCGAAACCTAACTTTTTGTCAGTGTGAACCTCTAACTGAGGTAGGTTTTAAAAATAAACGACCAAACTGACGTTTCTCAGAAAACAGCGAGGCCCAATCTTGATACCCTATCTTCCAACAAACAAAACCAAATTCATTGAAATTTTCAATTTCACGAATCGATCAATTAGCAGAATGTCTATTTTTAGACCACAGCGAATAGAAAGGGGCGGAATGCCGTATTTGTGTGAGAGAAGCGGTGAGTGCTGCTAAGGTAGCTCACGTGAGCCTACACACGGAAACTCCAATCAGGTAAGCAAATGTCAATGTATTTGAAATGCTTTTGTCAACCTTCGCTACATGAAGCCTCTTTAGCTCAGTTGGCAGAGCGCTGGTCTTGTAAACCAGCGGTCGTGAGTTCGATTCTCACAGGAGGCAGAATTTTTTGCCCCCCATTAACAATTAAATTTTCTTTTGATTGATGCTCGTTACACAATCGCTGAATATCTCAATCTATTAGGTATTAAACATTAAAGGTAAAACAACATTTGTGTTAGATCAAAAACGTGAATTGGTATTCAATTAATTTAGTTGCATTTAGCCGAGTCTTTTCTTCCAACAAACATGCTCAGTACAATATGATAATGAATTAAGTTAAATATTGGTGATGCTGCTTCCTGCCTCCTCTATTCGAGCAATCTCTAGTTGAGCATCGTATGCCGATCGTAGATATTACGGCGCTGCTCTCGCACCTGTCGTTTCCATTTGTCCTGCGAGTGCCCAACTCGGTTGAGGACATTTCCATCCCGCACCTGCATGTCTTGGCTGTGATTACCTACGGCGACCGAAGTGTCATCCTGTAAATACGACAAGATACAGAGATAAACTCGTTAAAACCATATCGTGCAATACTTTCCTACACCGAGTGCACTAGGCATTACAATAATCTCTGAGCAAACAATAACTCTGATAATGAAACTGATAGCAACGATCAACATAAGAAGGGTGCAACGAAACAAATGATAAACTGAAGAGGGTGTATTCCAACAATTCACAGTCTCGTTTATTGTTTGTTGTTCAGCCTTTCATGTCGAATGTGTTAAAACACAGAAATGAAAAAAATGAGTAACTAAAGGATAGTGGGTGTTCTTAGAACAAACATAATGAGAATTGGTAGTCACGAGTCTTCCGCCGTCAGTAGGCGAACTCGTTCCCGATCTCTGTTGCTGGAAAAATACTCGGAACCATCACTGTCGCTATCGTCTATCGCCGCGATAGTGGCAGTAGTGCGCTTATTGCTAAACTTAACCCTATAACTATCACTCTTCAAGAAGCTATTAATACTATGGGATGAATTATTGTTATCACGATAGATATTCACATCTTCATTGGTGTGCTCCTGGTAGTTTGCTTTGACGCGTTTGTTCAGTAGCGGGTCCAGGCACATCAGGAACAACATGTAAATCACCAGCAGGGAAATGATCCAGATCACGATGATTACGACCACCTACAAAACGGATCAGAGTCATATCGGTCGGTAGGAGGAGAAAAGTGCAATGAACTATCACCATACCTTGATGATCGTCGTGTTTCGGTTCTCGTACTTGCAGTCGCATCGGGGACAAAACTCCTGCTCCTTTCCCTTGATCTTGTCGGCGATCCGCGGAAGAATGACTCCATCGCAGTTGCACTTGTTCGGTGGCACATTGTCGATGATCAACATCCGGTCCGAGTCATCCTCAGTATTGTTGTTGACCGATTTGATACTCGGACAGATACACTTACATCGTTTGTCCTCGTAAGATTGTGCCTGAAGTTACAGAATTTAACACACATACGAGGTAGATATTTTATACGCATCAGAAACGGTAATTGGATCATTGGGTGTACGCTGACGGAGGTATAAAAAAATACTTACTTGGGAACAAACGACCTGTAGGGAAACCACTATCACTAAACCTAGCAGTAGTCTATTATACATTTAAACCAAGGTTTTAGATGATAATCAATTGGAATTTCACGGCAGAGTGAAAAAATACGCCTCCGGAATTTACTGCTATCGATGAATAAATTCAGTGCCAACATTTCAAAGGGGCGTAATTGCATTTGTAAACAATGGCTTTAGCCGTTGATTTCTCGCAAATAAAAGCTCACTCATGAAAATTGATTGCACCAACAGGTAGATGAATGTTTCTTCTTCCAGCTAGCATTGTTAATTTGGAGGAGTGAGCTTTTATTTGCGAGAAATCGACGGCTAAAGCCTTTGTTTACAAAAGCAATTACGCCCCTTTGAAATGTTGGCACTGAATTCTAGTTTGACATTTCATAAATGCGCACGTCAACAAAGCACTCACGTCGCTCAAATTAATTAGGTACTGCAGCGTGACGTCATAAATGAACTCAGTGTTAATCGGCTGAACCTTTTTGACAGTTCAGTGGTACTGTTTACAAGCACTTAGTCGTTTTCTCGAAAATAAAAATATTTTATAATTACCGAATTTTAACTTGAAGTTATCGAGGAACAGCGCGGTGAAAGCATGTTGCTTATGGACGATGCAGAAGTGCGGTTTACATCTCACTGCAGTCTGAAAAATTATCGAGAAAATCTACCCAAGAAAAATTCGACTAAGTCCACGTAAACAGTACCACTGAACTGTCATTAGATTGAGGTTAACTCCGACGGTGCAAAACCTATATAATTGTTGTACTAAAACTGAGTGCCAAATGTTCGACCCCCAATTCACAATTGAGTGGCGTATACAGGTGTTGTATAATTTTGTGCCCCTTATAAATTGCCGTTCAATAGGGTTATTAAATTTTGAAAAATTTATCAGTTTTGTACATCATCTAAGAGCGCTTCGTTTTCTGAACACAACGTTTTTTTTTAAACCCATAGACTTTGATCTCGGATTTTTAATTTAAGGTTTAAAGCAAAAGAACAACTTTGCTTTTTAACACTAAACCGAAGGGGGCGACTCTATATACGATGCAGGAAAAATTTGGTTGTGGTTAGCTGCGCGAAAGCTGAGTAGATAGAAAGAAGATTGATGACGATTCTGAAGATTTCCTGCAAAAAGATGATGCGCGATGCAAGTAGATGCGAGAAATGCAAGAAGATTTTTCGAAGATTGATTCGCTAGTGTGAGATGTTTTGAGCATCTAAAATTGAGATTTAGATGTGTCACCCCCCTCGGTAATTTCAAGACTACAAATATCAAGTCTCACGAAACATACAGTAAGGAAACTAGAACTTAAAGTTTGCTGCAACAAGTAGTTCCAATTTCATGAGCGGTGTCGCAACAGTGTCCGAGATGTATGCTCTAGAAAACTTGAAGTTACAGGGCATATCAGCCATCATGACGGCCATCTTTGGACTCTTCAATAAAAATAACCTTATTGTGGGCACATGAATATTATGTTGAATTTTATATGAATACTAGCTGAGTGTGCCCGGCCTTGCTCGGGATTCAATATTAGCTTGAGTTTATGCGCTGATTCAAAAAAGCATGCTATATTTTTCTGTTTCATTTGTATGGGAGCTCCTCCCTTACAGAGGAGGGAAGGGTCTCGAACCATCATAAGAACCTTTCCCGGCCCCAAAAACTCCTGCACACAAAAGTATACTGAAAGAAGGATCATAGCTCGGATCATAGTTAGATATACTATTTTCCAGAAAACACTCATTTTCAATATAACCACGCTTATTACCGTTAAATCTACTATGAATTCAGTATAGTTGACCATGAATCAAATTTACTACCATTCTGTCAAAACTACTATGGTTACTCAAACGGCATAGTAGTTTTGATAGAAAAAATAGTAAAATTAAATGTGGAGATCGCAGTAGGCCGCACTTGAAAGCTGACGTGTTTTTTTTTTGCTGCGTATTTTTTGTCAGCGAATTAATTTACATTTTACCCTTCTTACAAAGAAGGGTATAGATATCACTTGAAAAACCGACTATCGATCCGAGGCCCGGAGGGCCGAGTGTCATATACCATTCGACTCAGCTCGACGAGATCGGAACATGTCTGTGTGTGTGTGTGTGTACGTGTGTATGTGTGTGTGTATGTAACGAAATGAATGCGCTCACGTTTCTCAGCAACCGCTCAACCGATTTGGACAAACTCGGCGCCAAATGATAGGTCTTGGGGTCCCATTGAACGCTATTGAACGGTTTTGGAATCGGTAAACCGGTTCCGGAGATATGGCCGGAATAAGATCCGGTGAATATGGGCCTTCACGCTGGATTTAACGGAAAACGTATCAAAACCATCATGCGACACATCAAATTACTACAGAATTCAAAAATAAGATCAATGCAAGTCGTGTTAAGTGTTCCAGACCACATTGGACACACTTGGACATGTTCCGGGTACCCCGGGGAAGTTGCTTGAATATGAATTGAATTAAAACCCATTAAATCACATTAAAATACGATGATAAGGTGATTGGTAGCCTCACCAAATAGACTACACCCGGATATATTCCGGGTACCCCCAGGCAGTGGCGTAGCGTCACTGGATGACACGGGGCTGGGAGGCTTGGTCACTGATAATGACAATAAAATAAATAAACTTGAATAAGTAAGAAGGGTCTGATCACACCATAGGTGGATAAATTCGGGTTTTTTGCTTTAAATTTGTTTATTTGTGTGCTGAAATTTTGTTTCAAGTGTTCATAAAGTTATCATTTAGTGATATATCGTGTTTTGTCTGTGTTTGTCTTGAGTGATTCGGTTGACCTTGAATTTAACCTCCAATATATACGATGCAGCTTCAGTTCGAGCTTCAGTTCTATTGTTCGGTGTCGGTTTTCATTGCCTCCCGGGAGCCCGGTTCTCCGAGTTTGGATGCTACACTTTTGGCGTGTAGTTCTATTGCGAGATCATTCCGGTTGGTGAATATGCCCGGGAACGTGTTGATAATATGTCCGGCGCGAGTTTTGGTGGTGATCCGGTGGCCGACGTTGCCGTGAATCAGCAAGTCTTTTGCTTGCAAAAGTGCTCGGCTGCTGGTCTCTCTGCGAAAGATACCTCGCTGGATACGCCCAAGACTGGACAGGTGGCTGTTGGTGGCCACGAACTGTTCCTGGGGAAAGCACTAGACGCGAACCTCCCCCAGATGACCAAGGCAATGCAAAAAAATTTGTGTTCGTTCAAGGAAGTATTACGACAAAGGTGCATCACGAAATGAGATGCAAAGCTTAGAGAAAATGAAAATTACGGAACGCATGAATTGGAGGCAAATAAACATGGTGAAACCAGTCCAAAATTTTAACATTTTAGACATTTAAAAAAAAAAAAAAAAAAACAAAAAACCTGGAAGCGAGTATGTAATACCAATATCCATTTGATAAGTGATATAGATGCGGGGCTTATTGTAAGTGAAAGTAACCTCGGAATGGGCGTGACTCTCCAGACATTCTGAAATGGGTTGCTGGATGTGCAATAGAGCTATCACTTTCTAACTACCGGATTAAAGCTGTCTACAATGACCATAAATACGACATTGTATGGAGACTTCTTCCATAATAACACTGCCGACCAGTGGGGGTTGGAGGGAATACACACACATACACA